TGTTAGATTTTTAGATTTTCGTTATATTTTTTAGATTTTTATTACATTTTTAGTAAAAGAAAAAAATAGACTTCAAGAAAATCAAAAACTTACTCTTCAAACATCAAGAAAGTGGGCTGGGAATATAGCTCAGCAACATAAGTGCCTGCCTGGCGAGTGCAGGTACCAGGTTTGGTCCCAGGCACCACAAAAAAAAAAAAAAAAAGAAAGAAAGAAAGAAAGAAAAAAGGAAAGGTAAAAATAACCCACAGGATAGAAAAAAATGCTTATAAACCATATATCTGAGCCGTGACTCATCCACATGGCTGACACTGACAAAGGATCTACAATCTGAGGTACAGGGTCTCAGGATAAATCCTGAGGGTATTTTACTGACCTTATCAGATCCAAAACCTACAATTCTTGTTACATAGGTCTTGCTTTATCTTGGTCTTAACTGTCCAGCAGAAAAGTATAAAAACAAGGTATAAGAAGTAAAGCCAAGTTGTTATGTTGAGCTGTAGGGGACTCAGGTCAGCAACTTCTGACATTGCCAATCAAGTGGAAAACCCAATACTATTATGGACTACTAGACTGTTTTGGAATATTTTGCTGAGTTCACACACCTACAATATTTAAGATGGAACTAAACAAAAAAAGGGGATATAGATGAATGACCATTTTGTATCTGTGTATTCAAAATGGTTAGGATAGATACATAGCTACATTCTCTTAATTCAGTGAATAGAGGGATTTGTTGTAATAGTGTTTGTAAATAGGATATCATGTCTGCATCTTGTACAACAAATAACCACTAGGAAGGCAGTATGCAATGTGTTAATTATTGGAACTGTCCTACCAATTTGATTAGAAACTGTCTCATTGCTATTTTTCAATAAAATTATGGAAAAAATAAACCATATATCTGGTAAGGAACTAGAATCTGAAATATGTAAGCATCTCACAACTCAACAATACACACATCCAGTTTATAAACAGGGAAAGGATTTGAATAGGCATTTCAACACAAAAAGTATACAGCTACCTAATTATCATATACGGAATGCTCAATATCAATAATCAATAGAGAAGTACAAAGCAAAATTTTGAGGATGCAACATATTGTTTCATATCTACTAGCAGGGCTAAAAGAAGAGCCCCTGGATCAAGGAGTCCTAAGGGCTGATGAGCAAAGTATCCTCTACTGCAGTCAGGATCGTTCTGTTTCACTGAATCATTCTTAACCACCATCATTCAGTAAATGTATGGAATGT